AAATTTATAAAAATTTTCTTAAAATTTTTTTTAAAAACTCACCCGGTTATTAAAACATATAAAAAATTTTTTGTAAAAATTTTCAAAATTTGACCCGGCCGGTTTATGAGAACCAATTAATTAACTTTGCATGGCCTAATTAATAATATAAATTTATAAATATAGCATTTTTATATACCTTGCATATTTGTATGCACCCTTGCATATTTATGCATATTTATGCCTAAATATGCCTGGTTATGCATAATTATGCAAGGAGTGCACATAAATATACAAGGGTATATAAAAATACAATATTTGTAAATTTATATTATTAATTACATTAAAATTTATAGTTATCAAATAACTGACTCTGGGCTCAGAACAGTCAATTCAGGGAGGATATATTTAGTGATAAGTGTTACTTCCCTAAAGTGATTTTAAAATTTAGTTGTGTTAGTCATTGTTTATACAGTATAACCCTATTTTTGATGTGTATTAATTCTGAATCAATTTTACTTTTATGATATCCACTAAATTAACATGAATTAAATAGATAGTGGCAATAGTAGGGTTGGATCGGTCTTGAGAAGACCGGTTAAGGATCGGTCCTGAGAAGACCGGTTAAGGACCGGTCTTTTTGATCGGTTACATGGGCTTCGGTTCTCAGTCTTTTAACCAGTTCAGATCGGTTAATAATAAACTATTAAAATAAGCTTTTAAATAGTTTAAACAAAAACCAAATAAACTTATAAATAGTTAAAAAACCATTATTCATAAATTTTACTTCGATAAAAATAGCTAAAATTGATAATCACTCACATAAAAATAGCTTATTCTTGAGACCGGGGACCGGACCGAACTGGACCATAGATACTAATGAACCGGTCTTATTAGAGACCGGGACGGACTGGGACGGACCGATCCAACCCTAGGCAATAGTAATAATCACTTTTTAATTGTGTCGATCCATAAATGATCTTTATGCTTGCTCAAATATTATTGACTGCAGTAAAATAATCAAATAAAGTATAGTATAAGAAAAATATCTATGGGCTTGAAATATTAACGCGCTAAGGTCTTGTCTGATTAGCTTATTTTAAATACATAGACAAAATTAACATAAAAAATAAGAAAGTAAGATTAAATGTATCTATTAAAATCACAGACTAAACTATCATGATGTATACTATAAACAAAACGTTGCAACAACCAACGGTTCTACGTAATCTCTAACCATTTACAATACACATATTTGTTTGGACCCTTTTTTTAGATAAATTATTTTTGCTCATAAGTGATAACAAACGAAATATTTGTTACAAGTAAATAGTAAGGTATAGAAAGAAACACTAACATTATTTGTTAAAATATCCGGTGTTTTAGGAAGAGTTGGATGGGTTATTTTACGATAAGTTAAGGGTGAATTCGGAAAGAATTTCTTAAGAAAATAATCTCTTTAACTTACAAATTTACATTTTTAACACCTAAGAGGCTAACTTAGCATTAATAAAAAAAAAAAAATTCGATCATCGGATATAAAAAGTTGTAAAGAATAAAAATAATAATAAATTTGCATTTAAATATTTTGACGATTTATTATAACGATAAGATTTAATCTAACTACGTATCACTACATCATCAATTGCACATTTTATTATAATGCCAGTTCTAAAAGAAAGTAAATAATTTAAATGTTTTTTAAATATTAAATACATATTTTACTTAGAACATCTAGCACTGATTAGTTGTCTTATAATTCAGTTTTTTTTCACGCATATTATTTTTCTGTCTCTAGTTGAATTTGTACTGTAACAATAATTCCTGTATACATTTATTCAAATTATCAATAATTCTTTTATACATTTATTCAAATTATTATCAATTAAAAATTATCTTTAAATAAATGCGAATTAAAAGCTTATACACAATTTTATTATTAATCCAAGTTGAGCTTAACTCGAGAAACCATAAATGAAATGTACGTTTAATTATGCTAAAACTTTTTTTTCTCTAATATTTTTAGAAATCTTGCTAGCTAATTCTCTATTCTTTTTTGTTATGAAATATGTTGCCTCCCCTTTTCTTCCTGCTCTAGCAGTTCTACCAATTCTATGTAAAAAATTTACAACCGTGGTTGGAAAGTCATAAAGAATCACATGATTTACAAAAGTTGTATCAATTCCTCTAGAAGCAAGATCTGTACAAACTAAAATTTTAGAATTGGGTTCCTGATTACGGAATGCTTCAAGTTTTGTGGTACGTTCATTTACATCTCCAAATAGTCCAATTACTGGAAATTTTTTTGTTTTCAAAAAACTTTCTAATGCATAAGCACTCACACGAGTATTACAAAATATCATTGTGCTATGTTCCTCCGTATAATGTTTTTTTAAAACTTCTAAAATTGCTGCGCTCTTGTTATAATTATAATTTTTCATGTCAATAAAATTATGTTTAATATTAGGTAAAGCTTTATGAAGTGAATGACTAGTTATGCTTTTAATATTAGGAAATTCCCGATTAAGCATTTCATTCACAGGTTTAGGTATCGTTGCAGATACTATAATTATTTGGTATGATCTGGTTTGATTTTTTCCCGAATTTTTTACTTTAGTAATAATATCTTGAACTTCTTCTCCAAACCCTTTACCAAACATTGTATCAGCTTCGTCAATAACAACGTATTTTGTATCTGCAATATTAATAAATCCTAGCTCAATATATTCTAAAAGTCCTGCTGGGGTTGCTATTACTATGTCAACTGGCATTTCTAAAGTTTTCTTGACAAATCTACGATCCTTATTTGATGTTACTGCAATTGCTCGGAGTTTTGCATAATGTGACATAAGCTTTGCAACTGATAATATTTGGTCAACAAGCTCTCGTGATGGCAAAAGAATAATTACTCGAGGGCGATTGAATCTTCTAGCTGTTGATTTTACTACTGTTTTAAGTTGTAATTCTTGTTCTAATTCCTTTTGGAACCTATCAACGTATTGTGGTTTTCCTTCCTCAGTCGGTACCTTAAGTATTTCTGTATTGATCTCTTCTCGTGTGAGTGCTTATGCATTAGAAAGTTTTT